TGTTTTGCTGTCAAGCTAAATTTATTTCTTGCAAGCAGTTGCAGTTTGGGTCTACTCTTAAGTTCAAGTTGACTGGATGAGGGTTAATATATGAATCAAAGAAAAATGTGCATGCAAGGTATTTTTTACACTTTTTGTGTAAATTTGGATCAGGTTGGGGTCATAATCTTCTTTGAGGCCACTGTATAGGTATCTCTAGCTGAAGAGACAGTACAATCTCCTAAATGTGTTTTTCTTGATTGGTTAAAGGAGTGGTGTGACTGAACAATGCAATGAGGAAAAGCAACTAGAACAGGAAAGGTAACACAGTAAAAGCAGCACAGTAAACGTAGATATCAGCTTATAATCCCCATAAAAATGCTACTGTTGAGGTTAGCACTATCAGCAGATGCTGCACGGCAAGAACGCTGCATGTTTTTAATAGATGGCAATGGTTGTGAGCAGAAAAATGATACACAATTAGTATATTTTTCCTCTGTCTGTAGAAAACAAGTGTTTTTCCTTCTAAATGTCAGAATAGATGTTTATAATGTTGAAATATATTTGCAGTTTATGAGGGGGTTTGCATGCATTTTTGAGTATTTTCTATTTTTATCTACTTTTAAGCAGGCTACCAAAAACATTTAGTACTAAATGATTCTATAGACTATACAATAGATACATGTTTTAATTTGTGTTGGAATTAGTAATAATTTATTGAAACAGTTAAATTAATCTTGCAATGTTATATTTTTACTCTATCCTAAATAACCACTCAGTTTCAAAAACTGTAAATGCCAAAATTCAGATTTCAGTGTAATTTCCACGAAAGGAAAAGAGGCACCAAGTAAAAGACTTACATGGCGAGTTTGCATTACTGTATGTGTAGTACAGATAAGGAGGAGCATCCAGTTCCAGTCATACTTCCAGCAAACTGCAGGCATGATTCCAAGACTTCATATTCTTAGCTGTACTCATGAAAGTGCTATCTTATTAGACGCTGAGACTTCACTAAAATATGTGCTGTGTGTTTTTTCCTCGCCTCTCCTCAGACCACATGCATGAGCGTTCTCTTCCTGTTTAGGTTTTTGATCAGGATCTGAGCAGGATGCCCCCTGGACGCCTCCTGGTGGGGGTTTACCAGGCACAGCCTACTGGGACGAGACCCCGGGGTCATCCTGGGACTTGTTGTAGGGATTATGTCTCCAAGTTTGCCTGGGAGTGGCTCAGGGTCCCCCGGAATGAGCTGGAGGAAGTTGTGGGGGGACAGAGTTGTTTGGGATTCTCTGCTCTCCCAACTGCTACCATGACCCTATCTGGAGTAAGCGGATAAAGATAATTATGATAACAGTAATAATTTTATGTAACACACAAAAGAAATGACTTAAATCATTTCTGTTAGACTTTTGAAGGCACCCCACTGATGAGTGCTCGGAGCCAACAGGAGCTGGCTTACAGCCATGTTCATGCAGGAACTCGGTTCTTTATTAAACTCTAGAATGGATCCTGAGGGGTTATTGGTTGTGTTGAACTATTTCATGCATTCAGAATACATATTTACGTATTAGTACATCATATGTATAGCACATATATTTTTAATGTGTGCAAATTACATGCACATATATTTTTCGTCCACATGGGTTTGCTTGTGCTTTGCTTGTATATTTGCCTGATTTGCCATAATACCATATACATTGTATTATGTATAAGTTTTTTTGGCTTAAAATACCTTTTTTGCCGTAATATGTATTTTATAATTATTATCAGCTTCACATATAAAAACTCAGAAAGCATATGTACGTTTACTGAATGTTTCTTATAGCAAATAAAATGGCTGCAGTTGCATTGTACACATCATGATCCCTGGTTCCTACCATCACCATTGTAAAGAAATCTAAGGTTCTCTATAAAGAACGATTTCACATCAAACCACTCTGAATGACTTTGTTTACAACATTTGAATTATACAGACATTTTGAAAAATTGGAGGTGTTTCCCTTGCTAAATCATGTGAACAATGAAGCACAGAGCGTGCCTTGACAGTTAAGTTCAGATTCTAGCTCTGAATGCCACTGAAGAAGAGGGGATCGTCCTATGGTGAACCTGCGCATCTACATAACTGTACTCGACTAGCACCGTATGGCGTTGAAAGGATTTGATTACAGGTTCCATACCATACGAGGAGGTGTGTTGGCTTTTGCTCTCTCTGATTGGTTGACAACATGGAAAGAGCTACTGCCAGGAAAACTGGCTGACTGAGAGAAAATAATGAGCAATCACCATAACATAGGAAATCGAGAGCTGTCTAGGAGAAAGTGTGATGTGATTAATCCAGTGTCTTGGCTTCTGTGTTGTATTCTGTATTGACTGTACAGAGAATCAACAGATCTCTTTCTGTCTGCTGGAATGCAACATGCATTCAAAGGACACATGTGACCATGTGACTGCAGCGACTGCTGGAATGCTGCTCTGATAACAATCTGTGGTTCCTTGTTGAGTGTCACATGCTTTCCAGCTATACTCGCAGAGGGGAACCTGCAAAGATTGTCACACTGATACCTCTTTTATCACTGACAATGGCACACCTCATGTCAATCACACAAACAGGGCTTCATTTTGCAATGGGCGGGCTCGTCATATGACTTAGAGCACATGCAAAAACACATGGACACATACTTTAAACAGCAGAGATAATTAGTTGAAAGAGGGGTGGCAGGAGTATAAATGGGAATTTCAGACTTCAAAGGTGCAAATGGAGTCATTGTTGTGTTTTTAAAAATAATAATGATCACTAAAACAAACATGTTTGCTTTTTCCTGTCACAATCAACCAAAATATGCTTACTAATTAAAGCAAACTTAAATTGCATGCTTACAATTCAATTATTAATATGAAAATTTATTTCTTTTGTTATTATTTAGTAACTACAATGTAACAACTATGTAACAGGTTTTCATAAACTTAAAACATTGTTAAACAAGTAAATATCATCAAATAAGAAACACTGTTTCACTGTGAAACAATAGCCATTTACGTAATACCATCTGAGGAGTTCATATTTGTCTGAATGCTGTGATAAGGATCTGGAATGTGACCAGTCACTGGGCTGCAACGTGTGGACAAATGCACTTCTTCAAGTTGCTGGATTGAGAAAGTTTAGCATGACATGAAGAATGGTCATGGGTCTGGACAGGCAGTTGGATTTACACTGATCAGGCTAGCTTATTCACAGGCATAGCATGACATTTGATATTTAATGTATGGTGATCAGGTTCCTCGATTTGCATGGTGGGATGTGTACACTATATATCCAACAATAATGAAACCCTTCTATTTAGTGCATTTGTCTGTTTAAGGCACACCCACTGCTGACACAGATGTCCAGTTGTGCACGTACACATATTAACTCCAAAGAAAAGGATTAGCAGAAGAACATGATGCCTGGGAGCAACTGAACATAAGCCTAAGGTCATTACGTGCAATGCTAACCGTCAGCAGAGGAAACATGTTCTTTGGGGTGATGAAACTCCATAAGATGAACACCTTCAGGATGAGTGATAAATCTCAAAGGAACACCTATGGGATAAGTTGGATTGATGAAACTTTGGGATGAGTTGGAATGGTAAAGCTCCATTGAATATTTTTGGGATGAGTTGGATTGATTGAGCTCCACTGAACACCTTTGGCAGGAGTTGGAGTGATTAAGCTCCTTTGAAAAGTTTTGGGATGAGTTGGAGTGATTAGGCTCTATTGAACACCTTTAGAAAGAGCTGGAGTGATAATGCTCCACTGAACATCTTTAGGAAGAGTTGAAGTGATAATGCTCCACTGAACACCCCTGGGATGATTTGGAGCTTTGTTGAACACCTTTGGATGAGTTGGAATGATAAAGCTCCATTGAAAATCTTTGGGATGAATTGGAATGGTAAAGCTCCATTGAATATCTTTGAAATGAGTTGGAATGGTGAAGCTCCATTGAATATCTTTGGGATGAGTTGGAGTGATAATGCTTCACTGAACACCCCTGGGATGAGTTGGATTGACAAAACCTTATTGAACACACTTGGGATGAGTTAGAGTGATTGAGCTCCACTGAACATATCTGGGTTGAGTTGGAGTGATTAAGCTCTACTGAACATCTTTGGGATCAGTTGGAGTGATAAAGCTCCAATAAACATCTATGGGATGAGTTGGATTTATGAAACTCCATTGTATATTTTTGGGATGAGTTGGAGTGATTGAGCTCCACTGAACCTCTTTGAGATGAGTTGGATAGAGCTGAACACTCATATGGCTGATTTGTAAGATTTGTAATTATACCTATGCATAGCCACTGATGCTCCTCCATGGACTGATTCAGGAAACATACTGCATCTGTGGAGTTGAGGTCAATAAAGGTCCCAGAAAAATGTCGTCTACAATCATAGGCAATAAATTCATAGGCAATAAATAAAAAAAACTGTCTAGATGATAAAGTTTAAGGGCATGACTTATTCTGCAAACTGGTGTTAAAAATGTCAAAATAATGTCCTTTAACAACGTCATAAACTGCACAATATAACAATAAAATATAATAAAAAATACAAAAAGCCTTCTTTATAAACAAATATCTTTAAAGTACAAATATAATTTCCTACATCCTAAAGTACTACTGTTTTCAATGAAAACATTACCGAATGCTTTTATTACATTAAAAAGCATGTCAAATTCATCAACAACATATGTTTTTAATATGTTTTTATATGTTGGAAATACTTAATGAAATTAGTAAAAACATTATTCTTGTATTTTTTTCCACTGAATTCAAGGAAATTGCACTTTTCTGAGTACTTCAGTACATTCCAGATATGGATCTAAAAATGTGTCTTGTGCATCCCACAAGACTTTTTTTTTTTACTGAGTCATGTGTCAGAGGTGCACCTAAAGCAGCCAAACAGGTGCCCAGATGTGACACACCTCCGAAGGTTTAGCTATAAATGTGGCTGCAGTCAGCATCTGTCTACACAAGGTCCTGACAGAAGGTCCACTCTGGTACTAAGAGACAGCCACGATGGGGAACTGCCAAGTTTGCTGCAAAAACTTCTGGTGCCATCCCAAGAACACTGATGTCCGGATCAGTCTGCCCGCCGTCTGCTTCGTGTGGCAAATTGCCATGATCATCCTGTTCGGAGTCTTTGTGCGCTACAATGAAGAGTCGGATGCTCACTGGTCAGACTACAAGAAGGAGCATAACATTACAAGTGACAGCGAGAATGACTTCTACTACAGATATCCGAGTGAGTATATGTTAACTTTTTTTCATCCACATGTTGGGGGTCCAAAGCATGACCGACGTTACAAAATTCTTCTACATCTTGTATGTCATTTCGCATTTCCACCAGCAAGGTCTCCAAATCCCCCAAAAAAGTGTAGCTTTGAATGCTCTCGTCTAGTCTTTGTCTTTACATGTTTTCTCTTATTTGTCGAGCAGGCTTCCAGGATGTTCATGTAATGATCTTCGTGGGTTTTGGTTTCCTCATGACATTCCTGAAGCGCTACACCTTCGGTGGAGTGGGCTTCAACTTCCTGATCGCTGCCTTTGGGATTCAGTGGGCACTGCTGATGCAAGGCTGGTTCCACTCACTGGACCCAACTGATGGAACCATCAAAATTGGAGTGGAGAAGTAAGTTCAAAAACCTCAAAGTTCTGTGCTGTTTCAAATCCCTAGGTTCATTATATTTCCTGTATAGTTTCTGTTACTAGCTGTTTATCGTTGTAATCTGCCAAACTGAGATGGTAATGTGGTGAAATATGTTTATATCCTGAGTGTTAGAGCCATGCTAAAGGATAATTAAAGAAATATTCTAAGCCAAGCGTCCTCAAGCAAGGGAAATGTATCTTCTATGACTCCAGCTGGTCACATGTGGAAGTGGAAGGATATCTGATCCAGCGGACTAGCAAGATTTGAAAACTCATTTTCTCTCACATTGCAAAACAAAAAGCCTTATGTGTTGTATCCCTCATCTTCCTCCAGTATCATCAATGCTGACTTCTGCGTGGCTAGTTGCTTAATCGCCTTTGGAGCTTGTCTTGGGAAAACCAGTCCTGTACAGTTGATGGTGATGACCCTATTTGGAGTCACCTTGTTTGCAGTGGAAGAGTACATCATCCTCGAGCTCCTCCATGTAGGTGCCATTGACCATTTGGATTATTATAACTGCACTGATATGTACAATAAAGATCGTATTGGTTATGAAAAGTCAGATTGATCAGATTGTAATCTTGCTACAGGCCAAAGATGCTGGTGGCTCTATGACCATCCACACTTTTGGAGGATATTTTGGTCTGACAATATCATGGATTCTCTATCGACCAAATCTGCACCAGAGCAAACGTCTGCATGGCTCCGTCTACCACTCTGATGTCTTTGCCATGATCGGTGAGTCTGAGGCCTTTTGACCTGTTGAATTTCTTGGTTAAAGAGTAGACCCACTTCCTAAACATCGAAGCTATTCTCCTTCCAGGAACTCTCTTCCTTTGGATGTTCTGGCCCAGTTTCAACTCCGCCATTGCAAATCATGGAGATGGGCAACACCGAGCAGCCATCAACACCTACCTGGCCTTGGCCGCCAGTGTCCTGACAAGCTATGCTATCTCGAGCCTCTCTGCCAAGAAGGGCAAGCTGGACATGGTAATTTTCAATGCTTTATAGACCAATGGACATTAACTGTTGCACAAAGATGATTGTCATTCTTCTGCCAGATCTCGAAAAGGTACAGTTTGTAATGCATCTGTTCTTTGTGCTCTAGGTTCATATCCAGAATGCCACCCTGGCTGGAGGCGTTGCCTTGGGAACAGCGTCTGAGTTCATGATCACACCCTACGGCTCTCTGATCGTTGGCTTCTGCTGTGGGATCCTGTCTACCTTTGGCTACCTTGTGTTGTCTGTAAGTGCTGCAAAAATGAACTGACTGTTCTATTAAATGTGGATGGCTTCCTTTCTAGTGCTAAAGTGCTGATTTCTCCACCAGCCTTTTATGGAGAAGCGTCTGAAGATCCAGGACACTTGCGGAATCCACAATCTGCATGCTATGCCAGGCTTGCTTGGAGGCGTTGTAGGTGCCATCACGGCTGCCGCTGCAAGCGAGTCTATCTACGGAAGTGAAGGGTGAGTGCGCTTGAGGCATCTCATGAATTTCAAAGTTCCTACTTACTGTTTAGAATATGCAAACAACGTCAATATAATTCTTTCCTTTCTCAGGTTGAAGCAGGTGTTTGAATTGGTGGGTACAAAAAGGACACCAGGTACACAGGGAGGCTATCAGGCTGCAGGGATTGCTGTGGCTCTCGTCTTTGGAATTGTTGGTGGAGCAATAGTGGGTATGTAATCCTTCAGGGACAGTAATCAGTTAAGCTTTGTGTGTATTGCTAGCCAGGAAACTGCCAAAATTGTTTTTTTTTTTACTGAATAAAAGTCTAATTTCACAAAAGCAAGGCACAGAATAAATGGGAAGTGTCATCTTTAATGATCAATCACTAGCTCTCGCTGTTACAGATTAGCAAATTAGCACCAGGAAATCTCATTTCACTTTAGTCAGTTGGCAAGTTTCTTTAGCATTTGGATCTCAGCTTGTTTCAATAAACAATTGTAAAATGTTGTAATCTACTTCATTACTTGTAGGTGTAATTTTGAGGCTGCCACTCTGGGGAGACCCAGCAGATGACAACTGCTTTGATGATGAAGTGTACTGGGAGGTGAGTAAGAATAAAGTGTTTACTGCTAGATAACTCTTTTGGACGTTATGTATAATATATATATAATCATATAACCATAGAACGCCACAGACACACATCAGTTGCTCAGAAACTCATCACATCAAATCTTATGGTTTTTGTGCAGTTGCCTGAAGATGAAGAAAGCATCCCTCCAATTTTGGAATATAAAAGCCACATGGACACCAAGGACCCTGATGCATGTGTGTAAGTAATAAACATTGTGTTCAGCTATTTTAAAAGGTTTATGCACCCTTGGTAAAATTACATATTTTGTTGATCATTTAAAGCTGGGGTTACACTACATGACTTTTATCCCGATTTTAGCCTCTCAGTCTGGCCAAATCCATGCTAGTTGGCTCTAGTCTGCAGTCTGTCGAAGTTTATCAAATATGTTTGATTTGAGCTGATTTGAGTAGTGTCTGATTGCTAATCGTGTAGTGTGTGATCCCCAATAATTCAGTCAGCCAAAAAATCTGCAAATCCAGTCGTACAGTTTGAGATGCTCAGTCTTTTTATAATCTGTTAAGACTTTAAAAGTCGTGTAGTGAACCCAAGGCTTAAGTGAATAAGTTAACGCATCCTTTTCAGAGAACCCACTTCTGCATATTTTAATGTGCAGTTGCTTGAAAAAAAAGCAGGCTGTGCAAAAGTTAGGACACCTTATAATTTAAGTTTTAGGTTTTTTTCTAATAAGATAAAATTGTGTACTAAGAATTTGAAGAAAATTGCCATATTTAAGTGTGTTCACTGTGGAGGATCAACAAAACGTGATTTGACCAGGGGTGTTCAAACTTTTACACACGACTGTATATGTCAAAGTAACATAATGTGACATAATATATTAAACCTGACATTATCACTGTGATTTTTAGCTGATGTTTGAGAAGTATTAGCTTTTTTTATTTTATGTTTCACAAACAGCAAAGCGATATTTGGAATTTTAGTACTTTGTCATAGACACAAACTGTCTAGCTCAGTTTTTCAGATGACAGATGATTTTTTACGATTTTTGTGACATTTTCTTATACACTTTTTTTATTTAATTTGTTCTTAGGTCTGAATCCAACTTCTCTGTAAATCAGAGCTAATAGGCTGCTATTATCACATGATTTCCACAATTACACAACTATGAACCAGATGACACCTGCTGTGAGAAACCCACATGGAGCTCTAGGATGTTGTCCAGGCAGCTGGTCACAGCCAGTGCATGCTAGGGGAGCACTTTGTAGCACTTTGTTTGATTACATTATGTTTATATAATTTAATACCCAAACTGTCAGAAACAGTACTTTCATTGACCTATGGCTAAAATATTTGTAAATATGTAACAAACATTTATAATGGTAGATTTTAAGAGATGTCAATATAGCAAAATGACCTTGAAAATTATTTGAAATAGTGTTACTGTTACAACTGATTTTAGAACAATTTTCAAAGATTTATTTCAGGATGAGTGGGCATATGGACTAAAGTGAACTTTGGGTCTGCTCTCCAGAATGAAATGGTTTTACTTCTGTTTCTGACCTTCTCTACATAAGAAATGTATTCTGCATCATGTTAGTATTGTGTAAATTGTTGTGCTTAGCACAGTCTTTTTTTAAAACGTTGCGCACAAGATTCTGTTTTCAGTTTTAACAATGTGAAAAGTTGTATTTAATGTATTATGTGAGTTATTGTTGTATTTATCCGCTGACATCAAGTAAATGCTTTGATGGCTTTGAAGAGCGTTTATTCTTGTATTATTATAGTGGTTCTAGTATTTTATTCTAGTAATTTATTGCCATTTCTATTGAATCCTAGACCCTCACTACACATGGTTTCTACAAAAATATTTAATCTGTGTTAGTGTAACTGGGTTTTCTACAACCCCATTTCCAATAAACTTGGGATGCTGTTCAAAACGTAAATACAAACAGAATGCATTGATGTGCAAATCATTTAAACCCATATTTAATTGAAAAAGACAACATGTTAAAAATTGAAACTGATACAGTTTATTGTTTTCTGAAAATCTTATGCCCATTTTGAGTTTTATGCCAGCAAAACATTTAAAAAATGTTGGGACAGATCCAACCTTTCTAACTTGATGGTTCATATTTGCAAAGAGAAGTGGCTCAAATTAGTCATAAATGTGTGTGTGTGTGTGGGTGGTCTTAAACTTAAGCTCTTCTTAAGCCCCACTAATTTAAACAATTCTACTGGAAAAGTCATGTGATGTTGAGTTAAAACAATAACATACTCAACGTTCTGCCTCAATACTTTCCAAAATACTGCCGCATAAAGGGCGTACTATATTTAAAATTTTATTATGTATGTACCTATTAAAATAGCATATAATTAAAAAGCCAAATATAAATGAGAATAGGTTTAATTTAGAATGAGTAACTATATTAAAAAGGTTCAGAAGCAGTTAAATGATCATTAGTTACTGGCATGGTAAGCTAATATGGAGAAGATATAAAAAAAATAAAAGTGATTTAAATCAGAAGCTTAATCAGGGTAAAGATATTAAATACCTCCAAAATATTTGTTACTACTGCCTGTTTAAATGTAACTGCCATGCTTGTTATTGGGTGTGTATTGTCTGACCTACTGTGAGGAGTTAGCAACGTTTTTCTGCATACATTCTGCATTTCGAACCTGCACTTAAGACCAGATTTAACAACCTCAGGCATCTGTTCATCACCCACTACTCATTTTTACATAATGTGGATGATGCTAAAAAGCTTCACAGGGGAGAATAATGCCTGAAGATGTCTGAATGATGTTTCTGAAGTGATGGGGCACCTCCTCCATTTCTGATCCAGTGCTGACCTTTTTCTGGAGTCAGGTCCGTTTTAGGAGCTCCCATCCCACCAGAGGCAGGAACAGGAGACTTCCCTTTGGTTAGTTGTAATATATAATGTAGCCAAGTTGTTTTTCAATAGAAAATGGAATCAGCATGGAAGGGAGATGTTTGGCCATGCCTGGACACGCATATCCATCTCAGTGAAGTGTTTTAATCCAACAGAGTAAATGAGGTAAAACTGGTTTATGGAGGCCCCGCTGGTTTCTTTTTCCATACAAAGTAGTAACTTTAAAAAGTTACTACTTTGTTACTACCTTGTATGCCTTGACTCTGGGGTGCCATCAATAAAAATGCATTTATTAAATTTTTCCCTTTTAGTCAAATATTTTTGTTTGAAGTAAATTAGCTAGATTTCTAAAGGAACCAGAAGTGTTGTCCCACGCCCTGTCTGAACCTGCAAGATGAATACATCTAATGGCATTAGACAACAGAGCTACTGTCTTTGGCCAAAGACTGTTAACAATAAGACACTCCCAGAACTTGAATAGCGATACCAGTCATCCTAAATAACATCCATTCGAAGCTTTAAGGGGGGGTAGTGCAGGTCCTATAAAGAGGTTTAAAGTAAATAAGCTGGTATGCTAGGTTTATGGAGAAACTAAATATGTGGTTCCACACCCTGTGAAAAGCTGGAGAACCAGTGAATCACTGTGGCTCTCCTTTCTTTTCACTGCATGCTCATCTGTCTGAAACCTGTGAGAGCTATACTATGGGCCAGTTTCCCAGACTAGACTAGGTCCTGGAACGAAAGCCTGCATCTTAAAACTAAAAACTAAAAACTAAAAGATAGCTATGACTAAAGCTAATTTCTCAAGTTATGAAGAGTTATTAAGAGTTATACCAGTCATCCCTGAATAACATGACAGTTTGAAACCACTAACAGAGTGATGCAAATCCCATGATGAAGCAGAACAGTTTTAAAGTAGCATTCATAGAGTATTATCTTGCTAACACTCATCTAAAAGAGTTACAGCCCATTTTCAGGCCGCAAAGTAGCTGAAGATAAACCATGTCTAGATCATTTGACAAATTAGTCTTTGCCCGCATCGTTCTGGACACAGCTCATTTAGCAAGCATATATTGGGATAAACATCTATACTTGCGACACAGTTAGGTTTAGCGTTGTCTGTAGCTAGCTGGGAAGATTTAAATTTAGACGGTGCTTTCTTAGATGGTTTGACTGTTGCTATTCATCTTAAAGCGTGTAGGCTGTGTGGAGCTCACAAAATCTAGGCACGTCCTCCTCAATTCTCATAAAAGCTCTAAGCCCTCACAAAAACCAGAGGAATGACCCTGTTTCGGTTTCTTTGATTAATGTCTGATTAAAGATTAAAGTCGCCTAATGTCTCTGGAATCTACTTGCACTACTTTCATAGCATCAAACAAAGAAACTATGTACCATTCTGTAGGTCAATTAACAGCTTGGTGGAGCAGTGAGGTTTTAAAACATCATGTCAGTCAAATTTAACTAACCTGTCAATCAGTGGTCCTGGGAACTGAGCCACTCATGGTGTTTTTCAATCTTTTTGTAAATCTGCGTCACAAATTGAGCTTAAGGCACCGAATCCTTGCAAAACAGCTGCATATGGTCATAAACCTGCAGTGGTGCACTTGTTCTGTTTCTGCTTCATGGAGATGGAAAATGTACAGCTTTGAAGGTCCATTGAACACATTTCTAGGTATTTAAAAGCCATTTGCTATAGACCATATGAGAATTTTGTATATATATTTGAAAGATGACACTGTTAAACAGTGACTGGTAACTTGGTCTTGAAGAACCATCAATGTTCTTCAGGTGTACAAACCTAAAGCTGTGCAGTGTAGATTCTGCAATACAGGCTAAACAAAACATTGCTTCTCCAAAATTGTAGGAAGAAAAAAGTTTTGGATAATTTCTGTTGGCCCATTCATCATGTATTGACGCAATGTAAAGGGAAGCTGCCTTTTCCAGGAAAAATGTGTACATGATCTTGATTTGACAGCGATGATACTGTTTGCATATGCTCTGAATCATCATCATCATCATCATCATGATCTCCATGGACAATCCACACCACATCCACACCTCAAACAGACTCACTCCGATCTTACTGTAACTTCCAGCAAATCTATACCTGCACATACAGATTGACATCTTGTACATCTTCTATGCATATCATGTATAATCTGAAATATACATATATCAAAATTCTATCCACTGTGTACTCTGCATCTCATTTATCTACCCCAGAAATTGCATATATGGAAATGTGTACAACTGTACATTGAAATCATATATGTATATACATTAGACACTATATATCACAATATATATACTCTATGTATATGTCGCTGTCATCATAGGAAAACCTTGTATCTCCAAAGTGGTAACTTTGGTGGTAACTACTTTACTTTTAATGTAAGTCATTAATAGATAGATAGATAGATTTTTTTCTCATTATATATATATATATATATATATATATATATATATATATATATATATATATATATATATATATATATATATAAGACTTTCACTCACATGATTTGATTTTGATTTGATTTGATATTATGCTTCAGCCAGCAAAAGACATTAGCATTGTATGTGGCATTTATTTGCTAAGTTGAACATATTGGAAAAAAATTTAAAAATTTGAGGATGTTAACTCCTTTTCACTTAAAAACATGACAGAAGTCATTTGACCAAACTCTTGCATAGGACAACGTTTCAAGGTCATTGAGCGTGGAGTCTATGAAAGTTTATGAAAGCTAGAATATAAAAACATACATGTATTATTTCAAATATACCATTAATGAATTAATTAATTATTAACTTTTCTTACTTTCATAATCTGGTGTCCACAGTTAAGGACGATGAAATGTAGATTCAATGAAGGCAATGTTCATGCCTGAAATTCCAAAATCAAAGTACTGAGCAGAAACTATGTGTGGTGTATCCTGCTGGCTGTTTTGTATCATGTGCTAGAAGAAGCCAAACACCTGCCCAGGTGTGACACACCTCTAACCTCCCCACTATAAATACCTCTGCAGGCAAAGCCTGCTATTACAAAATTCTGATAGAAGGTGCTCTCACCCTGGTCATCACCTGCAGACACGATGGGGAACTGCCAGGCTTTCTGTAACCGTCCCAAGAACACAAATATCCGGATCAGTCTGCCTGCCGTCTGCTTCGTGTGGCAGATTTCCATGATCATCCTGTTTGGGGTCTTTGTGCGCTATGATGAGGAGTCAGATACTCACTGGGTTGAACATATGCGTAAGAACAACATTACAAGCCATGTAGAGAATGATTTCTATTACAGGTATCCAAGTGAGTATTGATTCATTCATTCGAGATAAATAACTGTTCTGATCTGTCAGTCCTTTTTTTGGACAGCATATATATATATCGCTGCTGTCAGAACAAAACCTTGTATCTCCATTTTTGTTGTTTTTCAGTTTTGACATAATTTGAAAATGCCTGTTGCTGTTTACATTGTGTTAAAATTTTACGGTAAATGGACCAAAAGAAATGACCCAAAATTACTTGGAATATTCTGGTTCCAGTGACTTACATTAGAATGAAAGTTCGTTTTTTCCTTCTCCTGTAAAGTTACCATTTTGTAGATACAAGGTTTTGTTCCGACAGCAGCAATATATATATATATATATATATATAGTATGCCTTTAGGAAATTATTTATATATATATATATAGACTAAAAAATCTAAATATATGGAGTGAACCTTGAGAATATGGAATGAAAGTCTGAATATATAGTGAAAGTCTGAATATATGGAATGAAATCTGACGTCATCGAAGCAATTGCACCATCTTGTTTTTTCGATGTGTGATATTATCCCGTACGGTTGCAGGCAGTGCGTCGCTATGACTGAGTCTGCACGAAATCTAGTAGCAGTAATCTTGGATAGTGAGGGGGTAATTAACACCCTGGCGAACGGATGTACGAACCTAAATAATACTAGAAAGAAACATGCCTTTCACCTCACAGGAGCAGCCCACAAGCAGCCTAGAGTGCAGTAATGAGTAAAGAGGGGTTGTAGAGATGGGGTGTAGTGTTGGGGTTCCACTTTAAACGCGATCGCGTCCCTGGCGTGGATGTCGACAGATATCCCCGTTACAAGCGATGGCGTCCCGGGGGGCAACTAACGTTTGCCTGATTAACGATAATTGTCTGGCCTGTGAGGTTCACTGCATTCTTCCACAGTGAAACAGTGATTAAACCTCATTGCTAAAACAGTATTAAATACGGTAACCGGTATTATTTTGTGCTGTACATCCGTTCGGTTCGTTGTTAATTATCCCTTCACTATTCAGGATCACTGCTACTACATTTCATGCTGACTCAGTCAAAGCGACGCACTGCAAGCATCCATACGGAACCTCACACATCCAAAACACAAGATGGCGCTGGTGCCTTGATGACGTCAGATTTCATTTCATATTCTCAAGGTTCATTCCATATATTCAGGGTTTATCATTATATATAAATCATTATATACATAAGTAATTTGCTAAACGGCATGCCATGCATATACATACATATAGACACACACACATCCATCCATATATGTATATGTGGGGTTGTATGGTAGGTGTGTTTCCCCTTTCTCAAGTTTCAGAGACATTACAGAGACATAATCTGCCTCAAGCCCATTAAAATTGACTTTTTATTTTATCTTCATATCATCAGTTTTGTGTTAGGATAATCTCAGAGATGCAGATGACATTCCATTGCAAAAACACTGACACTGGGTGGGCCTGGTGGGACCATTATAACAGTCTTAAGTAGCATTTATGGATGTTTGCCCGTTGACAGCAGTAGACACCTGTTTTACTGTAATTCTCCTCTCTCCCTCCACCCATTTGTTGGACAGGTTTCCAGGATGTTCATGTGATGATCTTCGTTGGTTTTGGTTTCCTTATGACTTTCCTGAAGCGCTACAGCTTCGGTGGAGTGGGCTTCAACTTCCTGATCGCTGCCTTTGGAATTCAGTGGGCCCTGCTGATGCAAGGCTGGTTCCATTCGCTGGACCCAACTGATGGAACCATCAGAATCGGAATTGAAAAGTGAGAATTTGCTAATGGTAACTCTTCTTGTTCATGGTGATATCATGCATCTAGTCATTCAGATCTAACTAGTAGTAGGTACACCTGAAAGATTTATTGCATCTTAGTCAGTAGGGATTGTGAAGTGATTTCATAACTTAACAATTTGTTTTGCATGGTGTCATGTGGTTCCAATTTCATTCTTTTCATAACTGTCAGGCTGACAGAGTTGATTGATGTGATCCAGTTGAACTGGTTCTGCTGCCTACTGTTACAGGATATGTTGTAAGTGCACCATAAGCAATGTAATTTTTCTTTTTCCAGTATCATCAATGCTGACTTCTGTGTGGCTGGGTGCCTAATCGCGTTTGGAGCCTGTCTGGGAAAAGTCAGTCCTGTACAGCTGATGGTGATGACGCTGTTTGGAGTCACCTTGTTTGCAGTGGAGGAGTACATCATTCTCAACGTTATTCATGTTAGTTATGCAATATAGATCTACCTTTACTCTTCACTTTACTAGTAATATCTTGCTTGTAACTCCTCTGCCAGGCCTCTATATGAGTGCCACAATGTTATAGGTTCCCATCCATCACTGGTCAGTTTACAACATCTATAGGACCACTGTTGCCCAGATGTTATTCTGGTGGTGGTCCATTCTCAGCACTAACATGGTAGTGTGTGTGGTTCTGGCATTAGTGCCTCAAATACTCTGCAAATAATCTAAATCTAAAATTTATGAGATTTTCCACTTATCCCAGATGTAGTCAAGACGTTTCTAATGTCCAAATTTAGCTTTTTTAGAGCACTGGAACTACAAAGCTAACAATGCTAACAAACACCCGGAGTCAATGGTCATTTTTCTGTAACTACACCCCCAAAACTTCTCAACTTGCTCAAACCACATGCAGATCTTCATTTAGATTGCAGAGACATGGTGGTTTAGGACACAATATGACTTACTGTGAACTATAACTTCCACCTATAACTTCCAACTATAACTGGAAAAAAATGAAATTGTGCATGTAATTTAACCTATATATGGCTACATGGCGTATGTCATACTGTGTCCTAAACCACATCAACAAGTCTGCTTGACCTTAGTGAAGATCTGGTGAGTATTTCACAAAGCAGGATTTCTCAGTTAGTCAGATAACTTAAGCCCAAAGATCAGGACTGTCCAATGGGAATGTCCCTCAGCTCTTTTCCTATTTGATAGACTTGACTTTGGGCTTAAATTATCAAGCCAAACTTAGAAATCCTGCTTTCTCAGTTAGCCCGATAACTTAGGTCCTAAAGATCAGCCTACCCGTTAGGAAAAGAGGGTCATGCTATTGGACAATCCTTAACTTTTGGCTTAAGTTGACTGACTGACAAATCCTGCTTCGTGAAATGCCCCACTGGAATTGATTCGAATGAGTAGAGAGCTGTCTTGGGGATGTATTTGTGGAAAATATTTGGGTGACTATTGACTTCGAGTACAGCGGTCACCAACCCTCCTCCTGGAGTTTTTCTTTCATACAGAATTTATTTTCCAATGTGCATCTCTGTGCTACCCCTCCCCCGTTACCTAACGCTAATGCCAGTCAAAGACTTCTGAAGGTGTTAATTAGGTGTTGCAGTGTGGTTGGAACTAGATTCTGCAGGAGGAGGGTGGATGTAATGTATGTTAGCTCTTGTGCATCAACAAAGGGGCTTTCAAGTCTCTAACTGTACAGCAGCAAGGTGGAACTATCAGGTCAATGTACACTCTTAAAAAAGATGGTTCTTCAAGAGTTCTTTAGCAAAGAAAATGGTTCTATATAGAACCATGAACACAAAGAGCCCTTTGCATGATTGAAGGGTTCTTTGCACTGTGAAAAGGTTCTTTAGATTGATGGAGAATGTGCTGCAGATGTTTTCGAAAAGGGTTGTATATAGCACTAAAAAGGGTTCCAATATTGTTACAGGCCAAGGAACCTTTTTTGGTACTATATAGTGTAGTGGGTAACACCTCTGCCTTCTACGCTGTAGACTGGGGTTCAAGCACCCTACACTATACCAATAAGAGTCCTTGGGCAAGACTCCTAACACTACCTTCACCTACCTGTGTAAACTGATCAAATTGTAAGTCACTCTGGATAACAGCATCTGCCAAATGCCATAAATGTAAATATAGAAACCTTTTTGCTAAGAGTGTAGATAAAGGTTATGTTGAGTCCACATTCCAGCTGTTTCTTGGTATCTACCATGGAGCTCTTATTATACTTATCTGGACTTTCCTGGTACAGGCTAAAGATGCAGGTGGCTCCATGACCATCCATACCTTTGGAGGATATTATGGTCTGGTCATATCATGGATTCTGTATCGACCAAATTTACATCAGAGTAGACGTCAGCAAGGCTCCCACTACCATTCTGATGTCTTTGCCATGATAGGTGAGCTCCATTGCTCTTTGAGAAACAAGTGCAGTTATGGGCCGAGTTCCTCAAATGTGTAGCATCAAAAGTACATAAACTCTAAAGCTAAAGACGCATCTTAATGCTAGCATGCTTTTGGGAGACAATGTTTAGGACAACTTTCTGCATCTAAACAACTTTCATCATCTAAAATTATCTGTCTTCACAGGAACACTCTTCCTCTGGATGTTCTGGCCCAGCTTCAACTCTGCCATAGCGAACCATGGAGACGGACAGCACCGAGCAGTCATCAACACCTACCTGGCCTTGGCTGCCAGCGTTCTCACAGCCTTCGCCATCTCCAGCCTCTCCCACAGAAGAGGCAAACTGGACATGGTAACTTTCCATACCACATAAATCATGTAACGGTGATTGTTACGTAAAGATGATTGATCGTAGCTTCACTGTCAGATCTTGAGCATGTACAGTATGTGCTGCGTCTGTTCTTTGCGGTTTAGGTTCATGTCCAGAACGCCACCCTAGCTGGAGGCGTTGCCATGGGTACAGCAGCTGAATTTATGATCACACCCTACGGCTCTCTGATCGTTGGCTTCTGTTGTGGAATCCTGTCTACCTTTGGCTACCTGGTGCTTACTGTGAGTGTTTGTTATTTAATGAATTGTGCATTTGCATCTTGTGACAAATCTGAATTCCTCCTGTTAAAGTGCTGATTTCTCCTCCCAGCCTTTCCTGGAGAAGCATCTGAAGATCCAGGACACTTGTGGAATCCACAATTTGCATGCCATGCCTGGCTTGCTTGGAGGAGTTATAGGCGCCATCACAGCTGCCACTGCAAGCGAGTCCGTCTACGGACAAGAAGGGTATGTTACCTTAACTAGATTTACATTTTCTGAAGGAAGTACAGTGCTGACGAGGCAAGAAACTATCCTGAAATGTTTGTAAGAAATGGGTCACAGAATTAAAATGGAATAAAACAGGAGTGAAAGAAAGGAAGGAAGGAAAAAGGAGGCAAATGTGGAAGGGAGTAAGTAGGGAAGGAAATACTAAAAGGAAAGACAGAAGGACAAAGATGGAAGGAAAGAAACAAGGAAGGAAGAAAGAGGCAAACAAGGAAGGGAGTATGTAAGGAAGGAAGGAAGAAAAAAGGGGAACAAGAAGAAAACATAGAAGGAAATAAATGAAAGAATGAAGAAAAAGAGAAAAGTAAAAATGTCTGGGGAAAAAACACTGAAAATCAATCAAGTTTAATAAACAAAATAAAAAACTGAATCAGCCGTTTTTAAATGCAAGAATGGAGGGATGGATAAAGAAGTGAGGAGGATGAACAGCCATACAGAGGCTGAGAGGGAGAGCAGAGAGCAGTAGAAGCATTTCAAATACGCACAGCCAATCAGCTTCAAGGGATTTATGACATAAGTGGCAGCTGGAACTCAAACAGATTCCTCCATCTAAGTCTGTGGAAAAAATGAACAACTTCTCACAGAAATATTGTATCTAAGTGTATCTATCTCTGCGATTTGAGCTTTATCAACTGTGTAAGGAGAGAAAGAAAAAGAACAACCAAGAACAAACAGAGCAAAAAGAAAGGAAGAAGAAAAAGAGGAAAAGATAAACAGAATGGGGGAAGAAAAATGAAAGAAATGAAAGGAATTAAAGGAAAATGATAAAGAAAGAAAGAAAGAAAGAAAGAAAGAAAGAAAGAAGAATGAAAGTAAGGAAAGTGAAGATAGAAAGGAAAGAGGACAAAGACAACAAAAAGGAAAGAAAGAAGAGAAAGAAGGAAAAGGACAAAGATAAAGTGAGAGAAAAATAAAGACAGAAAGAAAATAAAAGAAATACAAAGAAAAAAATGACAAAGAAATAGAAAGAAGAGACAGAAAGAAAAAGGAAAAGATAAAGACAAAGACAAAGGGAAAGTAAAAAATAAAGAAAGAAAAAGAAATAAGATAAAAGAAAGATAGAAGTTGAAGCCATAAAAAGGCTGAAAGGGAGATCAGTGTAGGAGCACTTTAAACAAGCCCAGCCAATCGGCTTCAAGCTTTTTATTATTATTATTATTATTATTATTATCATTATTACAGAAATATCAACAGTCTAAAACACTTTTTTCTTTTGCCAGGTTGGTGAACACTTTTAACTTCGTGGATAAACATGCAAACAGATCGGTGGGCACACAGGGGGCTCATCAGGCTGCTGGACTGTGTGTGGCTCTCATTTTTGGACTGGGGGGTGGAGCGTTGGTGGGTGAGTGCTCCCCTGGTGTACCTTTCGCGGAGAAAACCTGTATCACTAAATGTACATAGTTTGGTGATTAACGGAGGTCTGACGCTGTGCAGGTGGGATCCTGAAGCTGCCAGTCTGGGGAGACCCTGAGGACGACAACTGCTTTGATGATGAAGTGTACTGGGAGGTGAGGGAGAGTGAAGGGCTTGTACTGAATAATTTTCACCACAAGACGGTGCTGTTGGACATCATTACTAATCATAATCCGTGAATGCAGCAGTTTTGATAATGTCTTTTACTTGAAAATCAGTAAGAAGTGTACTGAAAGTGCACACTAATTTAAGTAAAGGAATTGAAGTATATTAAATATGAGATTTAGTTTTATATTAAGTTTATTGTGACTTGTTTCCGTGCAGCTGCCTGAAGATGAGGAGAGCATTCCTGCTATTATTGAATACAACAACCAGATGGACGGCAAGCGCTTTGAAATGTAAGTGGCATGTTTTTATGATGAATATGATTAAAATTATTTTGGTATTTTGGTGCCTTTTTTTTAAACATGGGTGAATAAATAGCACGTGCTGTAAATACAGGCACACAGCCATGTAACTGCATTCTTTTAAAGCACCACATGGTGGCACTAGATTCTTAAAAAACAGGGTTCTTTTGAGCAGCGCCGTAAAAGAACCAGTTTTGGTTCTCTAAAGAAAAGAGATTTGTGAAGTACATTTTAAAGGGCTTGTATCATGGAAAACCAGATGAAATTTTAAAAATAAGAGTTTAACGTGCAATATGTGTAATAATATATAATAAACATTAACGTACAAAAGGTCTCGTTCATCCAGTCCATACATTCCATAAATGGCAACTAAGCTGCAAAAACATCTCAATTTTTTTTTGTGATATCATATCCAGCTCATTTACATATCCACCTATTCAATCTACAGCAGTTCAGTCCCTTCCATTCATATTGAAGTTCTAAGGAGTGTTTCATCCTCTTCTACTTTTTTAAAATAAGATCAGAGGTCATTTACATATCAGTATTAAAGACAAGGTAAGAAAAAGGTAGCGTACATGTTGAATGTTCATGTATAATTGAAGGTTCCATACCAATTTAAGGGTTCCTCTGAGAGCCTTTACATTATGTGGAGGTTTATTTTTATTTTAAAAATGTTCTTCACAATGACTCTCTATAGAACCATCCACTGAAAGGTTCTTGAGGGAAACAAATGTTTTCTTTTATGGCATTGCACGAAAGAACCATTTTTGGCACCTTTATTTTTATAAGCATATGCAACCAGGAGAATTATTGGCCCTTTTTTAGCCAGGCAGCATCTGATGAATGTAAAAAAATAATAATGATTCAAGATTTTAATAATGTTTTGCATTAGGCTAATGTGCCATAAGCTATTATGTGACACTATTGCAAACTTTTGCAAATTTTTTCAGTGTATTGCACTGCACACCGATGTCTATCTACACTGGCCTTGATTTATTTATTTATTTTTTCTATTCAATAGTCCTATGAAACAGTAATGCAGTACAACTGCAATACAGCTGTTACTTTATGCTAACATGTTTCTGTGATCTGCTTTTTAACCTTAGGGTGGAGTCCAACTTGTCAGCAGTCTCTCAATCTGTCTGATCGGTCACAAACCACTGGACACTCTTATGCGCTCAGTGGTAAAGGCCCCAGTGTACAGCCAGACACTTGATGAGTTGCACAAACACTTATACTGATTTAATAATATATTGACAGCTGTTCAGCTGCCCCTAACCACGTATTCCTCTTCAGTGGTCCGACTCTCCTGCTGGACATCTACACACCTGTATAGTTCATTCCTAGTCCAGATTTAGTGTGGCTGTTCTAGGGGATTAAGGTCTTCTGAATAGAATGATTGATTAGGTGGATCAGGAGCAATAGATCAAGGCTGGAATGAATCTCAGGGCAGATCTCCGGGAGGAGGCTTGGAGACCACTGAGTTTTGCTCTTTAAAGTTTGACAGTGTTTCTAGGCTAAATGACCCAAGCTATGTGCTTACTTGTTTAGGCAAACTGTGAACTATAGAATATTAGGCATAACCTGTAAATGTGCAGATAACTTTGTTTTATATAGAACATGCACCATTGTCTATATTAAAGTCTCTTTGTACTGTATAACCTTTTGAAGTTTGTTACTCTTGGCAATTAAATACCTCAGTGACATGAACGTGTGTTTTGATCTCATCATTGATTTACATAGTCTTTATAGGTTAGAATAGACTGTACTGGTGTTTTTCAGCCTTTATTTTACACTGTCAATAATAATTTGGTGTTTTAATTGCTGTAACATCATGGGAGAGGTTCAATGAACTCAATGTTTTTAAGGGGAATTCTACTATTTATTTCAGAATATCTGCATAATTGAATCATTGAGATGTAAACAGTCATTCAAAGTGGTTTAATGTGAAATAGTTGATTGCAGAGAAACTTACACTTTGATTAACTTATCACAGTTTTATTTGCTATCCAAAGAATCCAGTGGACGTTTCTTTGTTTTAGAAGTATGTTTTAGGCTGAAACCTCATTGTAATGTCTCAGACACAAGGCAGCATTTGGCCAGCCTCACAGCAGCTAAAAAAACAAGATTGAAAATATGGTTTGAACCCTCCATCCTTGTGCATCTTCTTTGGCTTACTTATTTTTGGGACATTGCTCTTTTGGAATGTACAACAGCCAGGATAAATAAGGCCAAGATAAGAACAATTGTGTCCTGGTCAAATACTGAGAAAGAACCGTTAAAAATAACCAGAGCACAGCAACCTTTACTAACTGATATGAGGGTGGAAACTCCATTATACTGGGTTCATTTATTTATCTTTATTTGTTTATTTATTTATTTATCTTTTGCTTTAATGTGCATTTCCTTTCCTCTTATATGATTATACCACCGACCATCACTACTGTCATTACTGATGTTGCTAATTTGATATCTAGTAGTGATTATTGGCTCTATACTGTATCTATTGTGTATCTATATCTTGGGCTTTTTAAACATAGTTCTTATGTTCTATGTGTTTACTTATTAATAAAATAAGTGATCACAGTGAGGCAGAGCATTCCTGACTGTTTTAGTAATAACTTTCTCTGAGATTGCTTTTAAGAAGCATTAAACTCTTCAGATGTCTGGTTTCTATCACCACCACTGTGAACAGTTCTGACTCGGTACGTGTCTAGAATGGAGCATTTCACACCAAACCACTCTAAATTACTTTATTTACATCTTAGCCATTGAATTATGCCTAAATCAGTGGAATTCACCTTTAGGCTACTTAGTGTTTTAAGGTCAAACAATAAAAAGTCCAGTCTTTTTTATAGTATATGCTCTTAAGCATAGACATTCCTTTTAAATAAGATGCACTGAATAAAAGAATGAAATAGTAATATAAAAGTCAAACGTCTACAGATCCAGATGAGATCAGCTGTATAACTGATGCAATGGTTTCTACAATGATCATTTTAAAGAGTTCAATTCAATCTTTCAAACTATTGAGTTTCTTCTGTCATTCAGGCTACTCTAGACAAAGTTTAAAGCACTGTAATGGACTAATCATTAGGAAATAAAGATGCACTAAAAGCTCTAAGCTCTAAAAAGGGTTGCTTACACAACAAATATGATTTTAATGTGCTGGACTACCATAATGAAAGAGACGAAGTCTACAATTTCAGGAGAATAGAACGGAGCTGGTGCGAGTTAGAGGGACAAAGAGAACATAATTGGGTCTATCATTCAGAAGGGTTTGACAATGGCGTAGTGTTTAAAGAGGTCACCTTATTGTTTGGCCCCTGAGACAGCTGTCCGGCCCCTGGGCAGCTCCTAAACTGTTTGTTTAGCTGGTTGCAAAGACATGGTGATGGTCAAAGGTTGAATGGATCAACGCTGTGCTGGCTGGCCTTCAGAAAAGCCCTCCTGAATGTGTCACGCAGGTGTTTTTTCTGATGTGTGCTTTGAAGTGATATGGAGCAGACGGCACAGGTGGGGCGTTCTTCAGTACTGCAGATGTAAAATTTGACGTTCTGTTATGATTCTGAAATCTGTAGAGTGGATGTTGACGGTTATTCTTAATTTTTCATTTTAAAGAATGAAAATGAATGTGATTGTTCAAGTCAGGTTGGTGACAGTCCAATAAACTATCGAAGTCTTTAATTTGCCCTTTGATGCTTGGCTAGCAGTACATTACAGAATTTAGCATGTTCTTTAAAAGGCCCATATTATGGCAAAACAATTTGTGTAGCTTTTTTTAAGATAAGAGTTTGATGTATTATATAAACATTGTTGAAGTTTCAAAATGTACCCTTCTCTACCCACTCCATACGCAATAAACTGCAAAAACCGCTTGGTTTGAATTGCTTTTGTGATGTCACAAAAAAACAACACATTTAAATCTATCTATCTATTCAGCCTACGACAGTTTCATGTTGCTCCAGCCATTCACGTTAAACTTACAAGCCGGAATTGTTTCTCCTATTATCTTTTCTGGATGAGGCACAATACAGGGCAGCCAATCGGAACAGAGCTCATTTACATATCAGTCTTTAAAGTGCAGTAAAACTTCCAGTTTTATTTTAAGTGACAGAAAGGTTGGCACATGGCCATGTAAAAATTATTATGGCTGGGTTTGGTACATAAAACCTCATAAAATGTCATAGGTGGATATAAAAAACAAAATATAAGACAAATATAGGATATGAGCCCTTTAACAAAATTCTCCTAAATATTAACGTATGTTGGTCATATGTTCAAGGAAGCCTGTTGGTCACCCTCTGGTCAGGCTCAATCCCTCTATTCTTATGGAAATAGACTGCTTGTAGAGAGGTCAAGCAGGGTCAATGGGGCCATTTCCTGATCAATCCCCATGACATTTAATGAACTTAAAATAGACATATGGGTTTTGTAATGTCCCACAGCCAGATTATAAGCATATATTACAATCAATCAGTGTCTAACATATGAATTTGTAGTTGTTCATGGCAATTTATTTGCTGAAATATTTAAAATGTGTTATTAATATGATGACAGAGAAAACTTTTTAAGGCTTTTCTCATATAATAAGCATTGCAACAATAACAGAGAAATACTGTTAAATGCATATGGAATATATGGGATGAAATCTAATGAGTGACATGGATTGAGAATTGAAGGCATCACATCTTTTAGAATGTCCTCACATTTAAACAGGCAGTGCACCAGTTTTTCTAAACTTGTGCACAATTCAACTGTAAAGATGTAAACAAAGTCAGGCAGAGCAGTTTCATGTGCAATGCGTCGTTCTAGGAGGCACGCTGAGTCAGAATTGTTCACAGTGGTGGTGATAGGAATCAGGCATCTGAAGAGTTTAATGCCTCTAAAACTTCCATCACAGAAAGCTATGATATGAAATGGTTATACATATGATGCCTGAGACATCATTTTACAGTAGTTTTGAGAGATTTTGGCCTAATACACATTTTTAGTAAAGCTGTTCATGGTTGAGTGGTACGTGCAGGTAAAATAGTCTCCAAAGAAAATTAGTTCAAATTTACCACTATTTTACCATCATCAGCAAAACTTATAAAAACTCCGAAAATGAGTGGGTGGTTTTGCATAGTAATTAAAATGGCTATATTGGGTTGTAGACATTGCAACCTAACCTCTTATCACCAACACTTTAAAGAAATGAAGTCGGTTAGTTGCTACAATTTCACATCAAACCATTTTAAATGATCTTGTTTGCATCTCACTGATTAATTGCAGAAATTTCAAAATGTTCCCTTTAATGTAGCAGGATGATTATGATTGTGCAGCAGATTTTGCCATAAGCTTGAATATATGCACCCAAATCTATCAACACAAATCTGGTATCAGTTTTAAGTTGTGACCTCAAATCAGAAAAAAAATGACACAAGATATAAAACAATTCGAGATTAAATTTTTGATCTGACAGTCAATCTCCATCAGTCTTCTCTGTGTTCTCTCCACTCATATCCATTAGCTTAGCTTCTGCATCCTGCAGCGGCTCTTTGAGGAATTCTCCATTTGTGAGCCTCTCAGGAGGAAAGTCAAACAAGGGGGAAGAAAAAAGGAAAAAAAAAACATGACAGGGAGGATATGCAGCGGCGCACTCAGGTTTTTTAGGGGATTACAAGGTACAAATGAGATGGACAGTGGGGGGGTATGTGGGTGTTACGGTGGGCGGGGAGGCATTCGATGGCTTTCCCATGGCTTGGAAGAGGACGGTAAAGCATCAAGCCGAGTAGGCGAGGGCAAAGGAGCTAGGGTTAGATCTGCTCTTCCTAATCAAACAAGTCTGCAGGGGATACAGAGGAGGGAGGGAGGGCAGGTTGGAGAGGAAAGGAGCGAGCTGACCCTGTAACAGAGATGTCCTCGTTAATTCCCCCCCACTTTTCCTGACCCTATGCGTAAGGAGTGGGCAGGCGGGCAGGCAGGTGGGCTGACCCGGCTATAGTCTATCCTGAAAAGAATTGCCAGTGGAGGGAGAGCGCCCCGAGTTTCCACACTTGGATCACATAGCTCAGAGGCTGTGTGTGAAACCACTTGGTCTGCCATTGTCCCGCAAGGCTGGTCTTGTCTGAAAAGCTGTAGAAAGCCTGTAATCAGATTAAAGATTGCCTGGATGAAGGGGGCTAGTTTTTTTCCTCTCTCTCCTCTCTTTTTTTGGAGAAGGGGAGGGAGATTGCAGCCCCTCTAATCAGTACCTGCCATTGAAGTGCAGGAGAGGAGCTAAATAACTCGGCAGGGAGTGTGGGCACAAGGGGCCTCGCGGACAAATTGGCCTGTTGTTGGTGGGGTATAATGGTGGGCTATGAGTAGGGGGTGGAAGAAAGGTGGTGTCTTTTATTCACCAGCCTTTCCCCTCCTGACCTGATAATTATATCACTTGGAGGGGTTGATTGGTGCAGCATGATTGGTACATCTGGGCTAATAGATCTTTTTACACAGAATCGTTGATGTTCTTGGTTATTCTGCACCAAAACGTTACTACTTAGGATTGTTAGTGATTCTCATTTACTTTCAGTATGTTCTGCAAAGAATATGGAGATGATCTCTGTTGGCAAATGTCTTCTTGAACTAAATAAGATAGATGTTGCAAGACATTCAAAAGAAGATAAGAAGCTGTAATGGGTCAAAATAGAAGGCTGATCATGAGTGGAGGAAGAGTGGAAAGAAGT